GTGTAAATCATCACCTGTGTTTAATAACAAGCATGTATATTATCACCTGTGTTTAATAACAAGCGTGTAAATCATCACCTGTGTTTAATAACAAGCATGTATATTATCACCTGTGTTTAATAACAAGCGTGTAAATCATCACCTGTGTTTAATAACAAGCATGTATATTATCACCTGTGTTTTATAACAAGCGTGTAAATCATCACCTGTGTTTAATTACAAGCATGTATATTATCACCTGTGTTTAATAACAAGCGTGTTAATCATCACCTGTGTTTAATAACAAGCATGTATATTATCACCTGTGTTTAATAACAAGCATGTATATTATCACCTGTGTTTAATAACAAGCGTGTGTACTAGCATTTGTCTGCATTGAATGTTATCACACATTTGTAACATGTGTACATTGTTTGTTCTAACGCATGGTAAATATCATCTGAATGCTTTTCCTGATATCAGAATGATGATTTACATATAACGATGATTATATGTTATGACTATACTGCATGCGTATACCAATTGTGCTTGCTACCTGTATTTTGTATCCCCAGTCCGTCTGTTAATCGCGTCACTACCCCCGTTACCTTTCCCCGTCGCCCCTATTACATCCCTGAAGGCTAATGTGTTTAAAATATTAATGTTCTATTTATGAATCAATAGTTGTTGTATCCTTGGTCTGTCTAAAGGGAGGAGTTCCTGTACACCATGACAGAATACGCTATATACATGTAACACAGGGGATGTAGGTCTGTCTAAAGGGAGGTCTTCCTGTACACCATGACAGAATACGCTATATACATGTAACACAGGGGATGTAGGTCTGTCTAAAGGGAGGACTTCCTGCACACCATGACAGAATACGCTATATAACACAGGGGATGTAGGTCTGTCTAAAGGGAGGTGTTCCTGTACACCATGACAGAATACGCTATATAACACAGGGGATGTAGGTCTGTCTAAAGGGAGGAGTTCCTGTACACCATGACAGAATACGCTATATAACACAGGGGATGTAGGTCTGTCTAAAGGGAGGAGTTCCTGTACACCATGACAGAATACGCTATATAACACAGGGGATGTAGGTCTGTCTAAAGGGAGGAGTTCCTGTACACCATGACAGAATACGCTATATAACACAGGGGATGTAGGTCTGTCTAAAGGGAGGAGTTCCTGTACACCATGACAGAATACGCTATATAACACAGGGGATGTAGGTCTGTCTAAAGGGAGGAGTTCCTGTACACCATGACAGAATACGCTATATAACACAGGGGATGTAGGTCTGTCTAAAGGGAGGAGTTCCTGTACACCATGACAGAATACGCTATATAACACAGGGGATGTAGGTCTGTCTAAAGGGAGGAGTTCCTGTACACCATGACAGAATACGCTATATAACACAGGGGATGTAGGTCTGTCTAAAGGGAGGAGTTCCTGTACACCATGACAGAATACGCTATATAACACAGGGGATGTAGGTCTGTCTAAAGGGAGGAGTTCCTGTACACCATGACAGAATACGCTATATAACACAGGGGATGTAGGTCTGTCTAAAGGGAGGAGTTCCTGTACACCATGACAGAATACGCTATATAACACAGGGGATGTAGGTCTGTCTAAAGGGAGGAGTTCCTGTACACCATGACAGAATACGCTATATAACACAGGGGATGTAGGTCTGTCTAAAGGGAGGAGTTCCTGTACACCATGACAGAATACGCTATATAACACAGGGGATGTAGGTCTGTCTAAAGGGAGGACTTCCTGTACACCATGACAGAATACGCTATATAACACAGGGGATGTAGGTCTGTCTAAAGGGAGGACTTCCTGTACACCATGACAGAATACGCTATATAACACAGGGGATGTAGGTCTGTCTAAAGGGAGGACTTCCTGTACACCATGACAGAATACGCTATATAACACAGGGGATGTAGGTCTGTCTAAAGGGAGGACTTCCTGTACACCATGACAGAATACGCTATATAACACAGGGGATGTAGGTCTGTCTAAAGGGAGGACTTCCTGTACACCATGACAGAATACGCTATATAACACAGGGGATGTAGGTCTGTCTAAAGGGAGGACTTCCTGTACACCATGACAGAATACGCTATATAACACAGGGGATGTAGGTCTGTCTAAAGGGAGGACTTCCTGTACACCATGACAGAATACGCTATATAACACAGGGGATGTAGGTCTGTCTAAAGGGAGGACTTCCTGTACACCATGACAGAATACGCTATATAACACAGGGGATGTAGGTCTGTCTAAAGGGAGGACTTCCTGTACACCATGACAGAATACGCTATATAACACAGGGGATGTAGGTCTGTCTAAAGGGAGGACTTCCTGTACACCATGACAGAATACGCTATATAACACAGGGGATGTAGGTCTGTCTAAAGGGAGGACTTCCTGTACACCATGACAGAATACGCTATATAACACAGGGGATGTAGGTCTGTCTAAAGGGAGGACTTCCTGTACACCATGACAGAATACGCTATATAACACAGGGGATGTAGGTCTGTCTAAAGGGAGGACTTCCTGTACACCATGACAGAATACGCTATATAACACAGGGGATGTAGGTCTGTCTAAAGGGAGGACTTCCTGTACACCATGACAGAATACGCTATATAACACAGGGGATGTAGGTCTGTCTAAAGGGAGGACTTCCTGTACACCATGACAGAATACGCTATATAACACAGGGGATGTAGGTCTGTCTAAAGGGAGGACTTCCTGTACACCATGACAGAATACGCTATATAACACAGGGGATGTAGGTCTGTCTAAAGGGAGGACTTCCTGTACACCATGACAGAATACGCTATATAACACAGGGGATGTAGGTCTGTCTAAAGGGAGGACTTCCTGTACACCATGACAGAATACGCTATATAACACAGGGGATGTAGGTCTGTCTAAAGGGAGGACTTCCTGTACACCATGACAGAATACGCTATATAACACAGGGGATGTAGGTCTGTCTAAAGGGAGGACTTCCTGTACACCATGACAGAATACGCTATATAACACAGGGGATGTAGGTCTGTCTAAAGGGAGGACTTCCTGTACACCATGACAGAATACGCTATATAACACAGGGGATGTAGGTCTGTCTAAAGGGAGGACTTCCTGTACACCATGACAGAATACGCTATATAACACAGGGGATGTAGGTCTGTCTAAAGGGAGGACTTCCTGTACACCATGACAGAATACGCTATATAACACAGGGGATGTAGGTCTGTCTAAAGGGAGGACTTCCTGTACACCATGACAGAATACGCTATATAACACAGGGGATGTAGGTCTGTCTAAAGGGAGGACTTCCTGTACACCATGACAGAATACGCTATATAACACAGGGGATGTAGGTCTGTCTAAAGGGAGGACTTCCTGTACACCATGACAGAATACGCTATATAACACAGGGGATGTAGGTCTGTCTAAAGGGAGGACTTCCTGTACACCATGACAGAATACGCTATATAACACAGGGGATGTAGGTCTGTCTAAAGGGAGGACTTCCTGTACACCATGACAGAATACGCTATATAACACAGGGGATGTAGGTCTGTCTAAAGGGAGGACTTCCTGTACACCATGACAGAATACGCTATATAACACAGGGGATGTAGGTCTGTCTAAAGGGAGGACTTCCTGTACACCATGACAGAATACGCTATATAACACAGGGGATGTAGGTCTGTCTAAAGGGAGGACTTCCTGTACACCATGACAGAATACGCTATATAACACAGGGGATGTAGGTCTGTCTAAAGGGAGGACTTCCTGTACACCATGACAGAATACGCTATATAACACAGGGGATGTAGGTCTGTCTAAAGGGAGGACTTCCTGTACACCATGACAGAATACGCTATATAACACAGGGGATGTAGGTCTGTCTAAAGGGAGGACTTCCTGTACACCATGACAGAATACGCTATATAACACAGGGGATGTAGGTCTGTCTAAAGGGAGGACTTCCTGTACACCATGACAGAATACGCTATATAACACAGGGGATGTAGGTCTGTCTAAAGGGAGGACTTCCTGTACACCATGACAGAATACGCTATATAACACAGGGGATGTAGGTCTGTCTAAAGGGAGGACTTCCTGTACACCATGACAGAATACGCTATATAACACAGGGGATGTAGGTCTGTCTAAAGGGAGGACTTCCTGTACACCATGACAGAATACGCTATATAACACAGGGGATGTAGGTCTGTCTAAAGGGAGGACTTCCTGTACACCATGACAGAATACACTATATAACACAGGGGATGTAGGTCTGTCTAAAGGGAGGACTTCCTGTACACCATGACAGAATACACTATATAACACAGGGGATGTAGGTCTGTCTAAAGGGAGGACTTCCTGTACACCATGACAGAATACGCTATATAACACAGGGGATGTAGGTCTGTCTAAAGGGAGGACTTCCTGTACACCATGACAGAATACACTATATAACACAGGGGATGTAGGTCTGTCTAAAGGGAGGACTTCCTGTACACCATGACAGAATACACTATATAACACAGGGGATGTAGGTCTGTCTAAAGGGAGGACTTCCTGTACACCATGACAGAATACGCTATATAACACAGGGGATGTAGGTCTGTCTAAAGGGAGGACTTCCTGTACACCATGACAGAATACGCTATATAACGCAGGAATGTAAAATGCTTTGTGGTTATACTTCCTGATAGCACAGGGGCTATATATAACAAAACATCGGTTTTACATGTCAACGACAAAGGTAAAACAAAAGGACAGGTGAGAAAGCTCGGTATTTACAACTTAGTTAACTTATGTAGTCAGCATCCGTGCATGTATCAGCCGTTACTGATAACCATACTTATAAATACCTCTCGGATCGAACCCACGTGGTCCACCAGATCGCTCTCTGCAGCCTGTTACACATATATACTGTTTACGCTCAAATCAAACAGAAGCTCACAGAGAAAACTATCTGTATTTCACAGTGTTTTTTCCTAATATACACGCGAGCTTTTTTCACTAACTTCAAAGGCTATAGTAGAGCTGTTTACTATATATGTGATATAAAACCAATTATCGATAGTTTTTGTCACGTGACTTTTCCTGTTTTCCGTACGCACAGAAGCGATCGAAGCTTCAATAGCAGAAAGCGGACGGTATGTGACGGAAAGGAGACTTTTAGCAGTTAGGCTTGTCAGTAGAATAGGCCTTGTCATAATGGTGATACGACCTCGTGGACAGAGGGAAACTTTATTGGAACCTATCTAACTGCCGAAGCGTGGCATATTTATTGCATTGCTCTCTATTAAGCCTAGTGTTTATCTACAAAGGCCACTAACGTAACTATGAAGGATTAACAGCTATCGTGTTTGTGTGCTTGGCCATTGTGTTGAACAAAATACGAGGTTATATTATCAGAATGAACGATACGGCGTCCTCCCGATTTCTTTCGCCTGATTCAGCGGTAAACACCCATCACACACGTACAAGATCATTTAAGAGTCGTTCCCGGACTCGCGACGTTGATGACCCGGACTGCTGTGATCGTCCGCGGAGGAACAGCATGCCTTCCCGCGCGCGACATCAAGTACTTTCGTCCTCCTTTAATGACTTGTTTGACAATACCGAAAACGAACAACCACAGAGTTTGAGAAGGGTCAGGTCTTTCAAAACTACCTCCAGGGGAGTAGTCAATCGTGGCGACAGTTACAAAAAGAAATCTTCAAAAGAGTCTCTAGCGTCAGGAGGTACGGTTCGTGATGATACCTCAGAACTCCAAATTCTCGACAATCATAGCAATAGTCCGACACCAAAGATTTCCACGTCGACATGTAGTGATGACATACCAAAATATTATCAAGTGGTGGTCCTAGGGTCAGACGGGGTCGGTAAGACATCCCTGACGGACCAGTTCATGACGTCAGAGTATATAGGGCCCACGGACACCGGAAGTAGTAAGTAACATTTTGTTATGTTTTGGTTGTACATGTATAGAAACATGTTGTGTTCAAAATCAGCATTGCATTAATCAGATGAAAGCAAGATGCTTGAAATATAGATCAATGCATACTCTTTTGAGAATAATACTGCTTATCTTCATAATGAATGAAATTGATATTTATTTCTCGTTATTAATGCATATCTAGTTAATTCATCTATTTCAACATGGTCCATCAATGTACGTACATATCACAGTGCTACATTGTACATATGGCTCTTGTTAGTGTGGCTTGTTGATAACAGAATAATGCATAAATACATTTTAAAAGTTTGCAATTCAATGTATAATCCATACAATTTGTTGTGTAACTCAAACGAATGTGTAAATATACTATTACTTTATGCAACACAATTCCATTCAGACGTATGTCATGATTCGCTTCAGCGCATTATGGAGAACCTGTTTGATCGCAACTGTATTGCATACCATCAAAACTGCTATAAATTACATTCCGCTTCTTATATTCAAGTTCGAAACAGAAAAAAAAAAGTTTTATTTTATCGGGTTTTACTTTGGAAAAAAACTGATTCAGTGACAAACGTCAATTTTACGGGAATATCCGTCATAATTTCTATTTGACCTCATGTCAAAATGGGCCCCCAATGACAGTTTGACGGATAGACCCTAACGGTGTTGGGTATTAGCGTTAAGCTATTGGCGTGTAACAATATTTTGGCTGAAAGGTTTATCTAAGGCCTAAGCCAATGATACGTCCATTTCTATATAGAAATTGAACTAAACCAAGATAAAAATAAATAAACAAATTTCAAATCGTCTCCAGGCTGTGTCTAAAAGCAATAGAAGCAAGATGCATTCCATATAAAATTAAGTGTATGCTTCAAAAGATAACATATTGTTTTCAATTTATAATAATATAAAACAGTTATTTCTTAGAAGATAGAGAATTGCACATTGCACGCACCTGCAATGCATGCGTCATATTTTTATTGTCGGCTTGTGTAATTTGAGTTCAGTTTGATTCGATAGTTCCCATTGAATGGTTAGCAGCAATGCAATACGGACACTTTACATCTTGGTTGTTTCGTGTTAAGCAGATATTACCTACAGAAATCAAATGTCCACTCAGTTGCTTGCTCGCTGAACGAATGCCGTGGAATGCTGATAATATAAACACGAACTTGCTATCTATCATTACACCTCGTGGTAAAATCCCACGTGATCCGATTCTTTGAGATAAGTCAATCGGGTTTGTCTGCCCCGTTCATTCCCACGTACAAGAGCCATGTGGTAGCTCGTTTGCCGTAAATACGGTTAGCAGTGCAAGATAACTATATTATAAAATTGACATTGAACAAAGCATGTACACTTCTTAGCTGTATTGAACAGTGAGGGTTAACATACGGTACATCTATGTGAGATTAAAATAAATCACGGCCACAAATATTGAAAGACAGTCTTAAAAAGCAAAACTTTTTTGATCAATGTGTTTTCCATTTACGTGAAATAAATGACCTATCAAAGTTCTTGGTCCTCCAAACTATAGACCGTAGCTCGGTTCTGGATGTTAGCGTGTCATGTTCACAGGTGTTACTCTTAGTAAATGTAACTTCTGTATCAGATAAGAAGATAGACTATAGAAATACAAACTTAAAGCAGGTTGTTTTTATGTCTTCAATTTCAAAATTACGTATATGTATAAGAGAAGGTTATGACTACTATAGAGAGGATACTTACTATATAGAACTATTGACAGACAGAATACAAAAAGGCATTGACTTGACCAGTCCCCAAGGTTGGCCGTAACCTTGTGTTGGCTTGACCAGTCCCCAAGGTTGGCCGTAGCCTTGTGCTGCCTTGACCAGTCCCCAAGGTTGGCCGTAGCCTTGTGCTGCCTTGACCAGTCCCCAGGATTGGCCGTAACCTTGTGTTGCCTTGACCAGTCCTGAAGGCTGGCCGTAACCTTAAAGCTTGTGGCAAAGCATGATGCGGGCACGGTTTCCCTAAATATATTTTTAAGACCAATTTATCAGTTATAGCTTAAACATTATAGCTGTACATTTTTCATATGTTTCTGAAAACTTTAGCAATGGATTGTTTTGTTTATGGTGCAGTAAACTGTTGGATTTGTATGGCTTCTTGCGGCGACCTACTTCATTACTGATCTAGCATGGTATAAAGTTATATTGAAAATATCAATCGTGTATCGACTGCATGATTTTCACTACCTGTAATAACCTCAATCCCACGATCATTCAACATTTTATGCACGTATGCAGTTTCGTCTTGATTTCGAAATCCAAATGAGCTAAAAGCAACTTTCGTTATATTCAAATGGAATGGAAATGATTTGTTACGTCAACATATTGTTTCCTGTGGAATCAAAATGGGTAATAATACACACCTTACATATTTAACTGCAAACTGAGTAAAGGATAAAAATAGGATTTGAAATGAGTTTCAATTTCAAAGGAAATGGATGACACTAGTGCAGGTGACTTTACTGATGCTCTGTCGAGTCGGAGAGAAACGTTCTGAACGATTTTCGGAAATGCCATGTTAACTTACTATTAATTCTATTGTTTCTTCTTTACATTTCCAACGATCAATGCGAGTATTATCGAAAATCGTGTCTCTTAAACCATAACTTTTAATGTCGACATCTTGATTTTCTTGTTATGTCTATCGTCTTCATTGCGACCTCACAATTCTTTGACATCATGTATGTCGTCATAAACCGTAATTTAACGTTATACACATAGATGCATGACGTGTGTATCCGTGCATAACGCATGTGATTCAACTTGATATTACATTTTTTGCGGTTATCTGCAATGCAGTGTTAAGCTGCCAGATTAAAACACCTCGGCACAAAATCGTGTTAGATTTTGTATTTCATTAATATACACGAATTAAATTTTTGCACATTAATTTGAGTCGTGTGTATTTATAGAAACCCGCAGCTCAGACCATTCCGTAATAATTCTGCTGGGTATGCAATTTAATTTTGTGATATAGTGTCGCCGCATGTTGCGAACGTGGCTGTTAATACAAATCAGTTCATTTCAGAAATGAAATTGAGCATTTTGTCACCGAAAATTGATTGAAATCAAACACATATTGCACAGCTTCTCCAATTTAGAAACCTGCATGATTACATCGAATAGTGATATTAAAAAGTAAGAAAAGAAATGAAACGTGTCACGACCTAGCGAGTAATATTGTTTTACAAAAAAAGAACAAGTGTGGTTTAACCAACAAATGTCAGTGTGCAAATCGAAACAGCGGACTAGTTCAGTGAAGCCGTTCCACGCTCCATCTGTACCTGGATATGCAGTCTTTGTAAGGTGGACGACCGGTTATGGAGATCGGTGTACCTGTCAATATTCTATTGATTACTGTGTATATATTACCAGCCTCCAGGAACCATTATATCTTTAACAGCCTATTGTATGCAGTAGATCTACTTGTTGTGTACAACCAAATAGGCTGTTCAAAGCGTTCGACTTCTCCTTACTCTCACAGAATTCGCCCAATTATGCCGATTGGAAAAATATATTTAGCAAAATTTGCACATTGTTTAGCCGATAGTCAATGCTATTGAGTACAGAATGTTTTTTATTACTTCAGAAATGTGAATCTTTATTGCTTCCCAGGGATCCGATTTTACTGATGCGACTTTGTTCATGGCGGGGTAATGTTATATCTCATTACGCGTGGTTTGTTAACAATGTACAGGGGTAATATACCACAGGCAGCGAACGATTACCGCGCAGGGATAAGCAAATAAAACGGTAAATTTGCATTCTTTTATGCATACGTGTATTTAAAGTGTTTACATTAAACGGGATGTCTAACATGATATGTTTTTTCCCCGTTATTTGTTTTAAATCCCGATTGTAACTTCAAATGTATTTATTTCGTTTCTGTAACTAAAACTAACTCCAATTATGTAGGTCTTATTTGAAGTGAACTCCAATGGAATATAATACAATAACAATTGACTCCAAACGATATGTAGATTAAATACAAATGTTGAAAAATTGGAAAATTAAAACAATATATTTGGAAATGAGTAAATATAAATCCTCTGAAAATTATTGTACATCTTCAGGCCAACTATTAGCATGTGCTTTTGGTGTGCTTGAAACAGGCTATGTTGGTATACTGATGCAGATTTTTGGGTGCTACCTCACTGAAATAATATGCCAAAGGCACCCAATGCAGTATTCCACCCGGTCACATTGTACTGTCCACGGGTAAACCAGTTGTTGTCATTACCCTTAATGCTGCACGTTACGCTGGAAATAACAGCTACCATTTTTCAGACATAGGTATGTCCATGCCTGGGGACATAACACATTGTTTACTACACTTGAACGAACACCAAGACCAAACCTGAGGTATTGTAAAGGAAAGTGCTAGGAAACAAATAGGTTGCTAGGAAGCAGAGAGATAATATCAAGATACAAAATGATGTAATAGACGCAGGATATCACTTTTAGTTTCCTCACTGTCCACTTAGCAAACGACTTGGGAGAAAACAGCCGATTCTATTTGGGGTCCTACATTATTCTCCTTTTACGAAATGCAGCAGTAGGATGACATTGAATACATATTAACCCAACATTACTGGCACCCGTTTACATACCAACGAATGTATCTCTGCTAATATTATGCAGTCTTTAAGCCATGATTAAATTACCGATTGCAAATTGTAGGATAAATGTTTTGCTGAATAGTAGCTGACCTGCACTGTAAAGACCACACTAACCGAATCCATTGAAAGTTCGAAGACCAGATCTTTTGTCGATCTACAATGTAACCGTGCCTTAAGTTTAATCGTTTCGATTGCTGATCATCGGGGAACGACTCCGCTGAGGACACATACTTCCTATTGGAGGCACGGTAGTCTAGTGGTAGGACGCCAGGTTTGTGACCGAATGGTTGGGAGTTCGAGTCACGTCACGGCACTGTGTTGTATCTTTGAACAAG